TTTCCTCATGTCACTTCCTCATTACTTATCACAGTTTTGGAGACCTTGAAATGCCAGGATAGTCCAACTATCCCCAAGGCCCCCTTTTTGGAAAGTAGACACTGCAAAGAATTCAGATATTCTTTGTCACAGGGTTTTTCTTTCTTCATTTCCCAAAAACTTGTGGAAACAAATGAGATCTGCAAAATACTCACCATGCCTCTCAGCAAGTAGATTGGGGTGTCAACTTTACAAAATGGGGTAATTTGGGGGTGCTTGAACTGTCCTAGCATTTTATGTCCAACATTAGAAGCTTCCGCCATACATTACCCACTTTTCTAACTGCTTGAAGACATAGCCTTTGCTGACACTTTTTATTTGCATGAAAAAAAATCTATATTTTTTGCAAGACAATTACTTTGAACCAACAAACATTATATAATTTTGTAATGCAGAGGCCCTACAGAAAAAATGGTGGGTGTTTCAATTTTTTTATGTCACACTATAATACTACAATATTTTTGCAGGGATTTTTTTAAAACACAATTTTTTTAGATTTTAATGCACAAAAAAAAACAATATATTGCCCTATTGTTTGCTAAAATATAAAAGATGATGCTACAGTTAACAATTTTACATACATATTGTAGCAGCACTTTACACACATACTGTATTGTACATTCACATCAGTCCTTAATCCTCAAGGAGCATACAATCTAAGGTCCCTAACTCACATTCATACATACTAGCGCCAGTTTAGACAGGAGCCAATTAAGCTACCAGCATGTCTTTGGAGTGTAGTAGGAAACCCATGCAGGCATAGGGAGAACATGTAAACTCCAGGCAAGAAGTGCCATGGTTGGGATTTGAACCAAAAACCCTAGTGCTGCCAGGCAGAACTGCTAACCTGCCACTGTGCTGCTCATGGTATGTAATTGCCAGGATGTACTACGCCGCTGCTGCTCGCCAGTTCACCAAAAGGTAGTGCGGCACTACTACTACGACCCTGCTGAGACAAGTCATGCATTCCTAGCACCTTAGCTACATGGGGTCGGGTACGCTTGACCTCAACAGGTTTGTGTTCTGAGCCTGATTCTGTCAGTGAGGACTCCGCTTCGCTCTCATCTGACATGCTAAGAATCCTGTAGGCCTCTTCACTAGACAACCTTGATCACTGGGTCCCGATTACCGAGATCTGCATTCCACTGTCAGCACCAATGTGTCCGGTCCTGTGTCAGCACAGGTAGAGTGCTGTACAGGTATTTCACTCTGCCAGTACATGCTGCTCGCAGTACAAGTACTGTGGGAGGTCAGAGAGTGGTTACATACAATTTCCACACTAATACCCATTTGCCCCTGCATTTGCCTCTAGGGAGCTTCACAATGTGGGCCTAGTCTATGTGGGTGAGCTCAGCTGTGCTACAAGTGACAAATTGTCAATATTGTAACAGAATAATATACCGTATTTTCCGGCGTATAAGACGACTTTTCAACCCCTGAAAATCTTCTGAAAAGTCGGGGGTCGTCTTATACGCCGGTGCGAGCCGGTGTCAGGGCGGCACTTTTTCGAGGGGCGGCGCCGCCCCCCCCTCCTCCTCCAACGGACACTAAGTACAGGGGTGGGCAGAGGGGCTGCTGTACCTTACCTGGCTCCGGTCCCACGACGATCCGGTCCAGGAAGCGCGGCTGCTCCTTCTTTCAGTTCGGCCGCTCGATGGTCACGCGGCCGCTCGGCTCCGCCTCCTCACCGGTGATTGGGCGCCAGCACTGGAAAGGCACACAGGCGACCAATCACCGGCGAGGAGTCGGAGCCAAGCGGCCCCGCGAAAATCGAGCGGCCGAACTGGAAGAAGGAGCAGCTGCTCCTCTCCCCCACTGACACCAACGATGAGGCACTGTTCCTCCCCCACTGACACCAACGATGAGGCGCTGTTCCTCTCCCACTGACACCAACGATGGGGCACTATTCCTCCCACTGACACCAACGATGGGGCACTATTCCTCCCACTGACACCAATGATGGGGCACTATTCCTCCCACTGACACCAACGATGGGGCACTATTCTCCCCACTGATACCAACGATGGGGCACTATTCCTCCCCCACTGACACCAACGATGGGGCACTATTCCTCCCACTGATACCAACGATGGGGCACTATTCCTCCCCCACTGACACCAACGATGGGGCACTATTCCTCCCCCACTGACACCAACGATGGGGCACTATTCCTCCCCCACTGACACCAACGATGGGGCACTATTCCTCCCCCACTGACACCAATGATGGGGCACTATTCCTCCCACTGACACCAACGATGGGGCACTATCCTCCCCACTGATACCAACGATGGGGCACTATTCCTCCCCCACTGACACCAACGATGGGGCACTATTCCTCCTCCCCACTGACACCAACGATGGGGCACTATTCTCTACACTGACACCAACGATGGGGCACTATTCTCCCCACTGACACCAATGATGGGGCACTATTCTCCCCACTGACACCAATGATGGGGCGCAATTCCTCCCACTGATAACAATGATGGGGCGCAATTCCTCCCACTGACACCAATGATGGGGCGCTATTCCTCCCACTGATACCAATGATGGGGTGCTATTCCTCCCACTGATACCAATGATGGGCCACTATTCCTCCCACTGACACCAATGATGGAGCACTATTCCTCCCACTGACACCAATAATGGGACACTATTCCTCCCACTGACACTAATGATGGGGCACTATTCCTCCCACTGACACCAATGATGGGGCACTATTCCTCCCACTGACTAATGATGGGGCACTATTCCTCCCACTGACTAATGATGGGGCACTATTCCTCACACACTGACACTAATGATGGGGCACCATCATTGGTGTCAGTGGATGAAATAGTGCCCCATCATTGGTGTCAGTGGGAGGAGTAGTGCCCCATCATTGGAATACCATACTGAAATAGCATACCATACCATTTGAAATCAAATCTGATGTTTTTTTCATTTTTATTTGGTGTGCGTTGGAAGAGGGGTAGTCTTATATGGTGAGTATAGCTCAAACTCTATATTTTAGCAGGAAAAGTAGGGGGCCGTCTTATACGCCCAGTCGTCTTATACGCCGGAAAATACGGTAATTGATGGTGTAGTGGCAATAATACTCTGACTTTGCATTGTTGTTCATTATTATTTACTGTATTTTTGTATAGATCATAGTTCTCTCTTTTACCCACTAAACAAGTAGAGGAGAGGTAATCTGGATATCCATATTAGTCTCCATTCTGGTACCAAGACTGATGTACACTGAGGGTCAGATAATGGTATATCCTACGGATTAGGGGAATACACAAATGAGGAGGAATTGATGATTCTTTTATTTTATACTTTTACAGTATATATGTTGTGACTTTATAATATGCTCATTCAATAAACTGATGTTTTATACTAAAGAAATGTATGCATAATCCCTGGGTACTCTAAAAGTTAATTTCTCTACATTTCAACTTTCAACTGAAAAGGATCATAAGATGGTATGGATAGCAACAGCCTGGTACTAATGTTATCAAATCATCTTTCAAGGTGAAAAGCAGCATACATTTCTTGCCAGTCACAGCCTGCAGCATTATGCAAACAATTGACTCCACAAATTCAAATTACAACTAGAGTTTAATTTAACTCGCCTGTCTTATAAATTTAGAGAAAACCTCCCACAATATTATTTCCTAACCAACCCAGTCTGAGAATTGGTATACTGTATAAATACTCAGACAACCAGTAAGTTATACTTCACATAGCCATTGTATAGCATCTCACCTTAGATGGCACATGTATACAAATGTTATTATACTGAAGATTATGCTAAAATCAGACGGAAGCATTTAAATGTAAAGAAATAAACTAAGCATAATAAAATAAAATATTAAGGCAAAATACTGTACGTTTGAAAAAAAAATTAAAAAGAAAGGAAGAGGAGAAAATCACAAAGTACAGCTCAGTGCTTAATGAATACTGAAAGTACATCATTCTGAAAGTCCTTGTAATTTTATGTATGGTGGTATCAGCACAAAGTACACATTTACTATTTTTAGGGTTAGCGTTCAGGCATCCTGTAATCTCCTCCTCTAGCAAACAAACTGGCAAAATGTGTAGCCTTCTATTACTGCTTTACAATTCAGTGTAAAAAGATCGTTATGGCCACATAAATTCACATGACCTGAAAAATAAAAACACTGCAAAATTCATTAGCAGTCTATAAACATTGTATTTGAAGATTAAACAAACTAACTTAACCGTTTGACGCCCAACCGCCCACAATGTACTGCGGACTGGCGGTAGCTACAGGCAAAGCGGCGTACCCGTATGTTGCTTCGCTCTTCTGGGTTTAGAGCACGCATGCGTGTGCCCCCGTCATTCGCTGTAGGAAATGCATGTCAGCAGGTCTCAGCCTGTATTTGTACAGGATCTAGCTGGATCTTCTCTCCCTGAAACCATTTTGTTCCAGGGAGAGAAGAAAGACAAAATACACATGAGTAAAAGCAGCACATTGCACCCACATACTTTAGATGGAGATATTTAATCCCTTTATTGCCATATTAACCCTTTGATTGCCCTGTCACCCTGCCAGTGCCATTAGTACAGTCAGTGTACAGTATATTTCACTGATCACTGTATTATTGCCACTAGCAACGTCAGATAGCATCAGGGTCAGTTACCACCCCTCCCAGCCAGGGTTAGCTAGTGTTAGATTGCCCGCACACTATAGGTCACTGATCACCGTCATTTCTAGTATAATTTTGTATGGGCCAATACATTGATCACAAACTGAACTATACCAGTGCCTCCTTTTTTTAACAGTTGCGTTTATTGAAATCGTACAAAAGTATAAAAAGGCAAGATACATAAGAACAGGCAAACTTACAGCGGAGCTCCACCCAAAAGGGGAAGTTCCACTTTAAGGACTGCTCCCCACTAAGGATTGGCACCTTTGGGGGGCGGGAGGGAGAAGGTATCCGAATTTGACAGGTACCCGCTCCCACTTCCGGTCTGATCGCCTAAGCGGTCGGAATGGAAGGTGTCCTCCCTCCCTGTAGTCTTTTGGGACACGTGACAGGTCCCAGAAGACTACAGGACCATTCATGAAGCGTAGCGCTACTCGCGCATGCGCAGTGGGTACCCCACACCGAAGATGCCGGCCTCCTGGAATATTGGATGGCTGGTGAAACGGGCTTCGGGGGACACATCGGGGGAGCAAGGGACAGGTCAGTGGCTGTTTTTTAAAAGTCAGCAGCTACAGTTTTTGTAACTGCTGACTTATTTTTTGACAGGGTGAGTGGAAGGCAGTCAGTATAAATACAATTCACATGTAATTCCAACGCTAAATATCATACAGAGTCAACTGAACGTCCTTGACGAAAAAAGGGGGGGGGGGAAGGTAAGACTAGAGAAACCCCCGAGAGGGGGGGGAAGAAGAGATACCAGTGCCTCCTTAGTATTAGTGTCCCCAGTGTTAGCAGGATCAGCCTCATTCACTGCCAGCACTTGCATTTTGCCATATGCCCCCCCCCCAACAAAAAGTGCAGTGTCAGTGTAATTTCTGCTCACAGTCAGTTACACATTCCACACAAAACTCTGCTAATGCCGGTTAGCAGAATCAGGCCTGATCTCTGCTAGCACTAGCAGGTGAATTTTATTGGTAGCAGTTCAAGCAGTCCCTGACAGCCAGGTGCTCTTTTTCCCGTGAGTCGCACGGTACCTGTAAATTTAGAGCCCAAAATGTCCCAAAAAAGGTAAATTAGTGAAGAGGCCTACAGGATTCTGAGCATGTCAGATTAGAGCGACAGAATCCGCCTCAGAATACGAACCTATAGAAAGCAGCGGCACCCCCTCAGGTAGCTCGGATGATGGAGAAGATGTCCCCATTCAAGATCAGGTGTACACGACCCCATGAAGCTGAAGTGCTAGGAACGCATGACTTGTCTCATATGCAGCAGAGTGCCAGTACTAGTGCAACACCTTTTGGTGAACTGGCAAGCACGAGCGGCCTAGTACATCCTGGTCTTTTCCATACCAGCATTGCATCACTTGGTGATGTGGAGAGTCTCATAAGTGCAGTACAACTGGTGCATCCCGCAGCCACCAGGAATTCACACACAGGCCTGTAGAGCCCATAGTGACCTTCCGGACGTGCTTGCAAATCCTGATTGGCAGGCCACAGATTCTGCAGCTCCTGTACTCCCTCCGTTCACTGCCCAACCCAGAATTTAGGTGGAAAGAGTAAATGTAACTACTCCCCTTGATTTTATGGACTTGTTTTTCACAGAGGATTTGTACAATTTGATTGTGGGCCAAAGCAATTTATATGCACAGCAATATATCACCACTAACCCAAATTAAGCTCTTGCCAGACAATTTGGATGTTTCCGAATGTAAAATTATTTTGGAGTGTGTAAGCACACACTTATAGTTTCACTTTTAAAACTTTTTTGGGCCTAACCTCAACATAAGCATTACAAAAAAGAATGAGCTGTAGTTGTATTGGTCCACAGAACCAATTCATATGCCCATGTTCTCTGCTGCCATGGCCAGGAATACATATGAAACGATAAAGCGCTTCATACATTTCATTAACAACTCTGTCGTCCTCAGGATGACCCTGAACATGACCGACAAAAATTCAGCCCCTCATAAACCACCTCACTGAGAAATTTGCAGATGTGTATATGCCCCAGCAAAACATCTGCATGGATGAGTCCCGTGTTTACTTTACTGGCCGCCTTGCATTCAAACAGTACCTCCTCAGCAAGCGTACCAGAACTGGGGGTCACACTGTATAAGCTCTGTGAGAGGGCCACAGGCTATACATATAATTTTAGGGTTTATGAGGGAAAAGACAGCGAAGCAAAGCCCCCTAACTGCCCAGGCTACATGGGGAGCAGTGGCAAGATAGCTTGGGACTTGGTTTCGTCTTTGTTCTGTAAGGGGTACTACTTATACATGGACAATTTCTATACAAGCGTGCCACTATTTGTACAATCTTGGAATTGGCTCATTTGGCACCATGCAACCTAATCACCGGGGCTTCCCCCAATGGCTTGTAAATACCCGACATAGAAAGGGTGAGAAAGACTGCTTCAGAAATGATGAATTGCTCACAGTGAAGAGGAAGGACAAACAGGATGTTTTTGTCCTGTCTTCCATTATGCAGACACGACCATCCAAATTTCCATGGCAGCTGGTGTTCTTGAAAAGCCCATCTGTGTCCATGACTATAACCTTAACGTGGGAGGGGTATACTTCAATGACCAACACTGGTACAAAAAGGTGTGCATTTATTTATTTCAATTGGCTGTGTATAATGCTTTTGTAATTTACAAAGCAACTGGACGAAGTGGATCCTTCTTAAAATTTCAGGAAGAGATCATCACGGCCCTTTTGTATCCAGAAGGTGCTGTGACCCAAAATCCCCAAATCCAGATGCAGTTAGCCGGCTTCATGAAAGACATTTTACGGATGGCCTCTCTGGTGCCCCAACCCAAAGGTAACCCTAAAAAAAGATGATGTGTTTGTAACAGATACAGAATAAGACGCGACAACTGCTTTTTTTTTGTCCCTCCTGTCCTGACCAACCTGATCTCTGCCTCAAGGACCGTTTACGTCACTACCACACACTAGTGTAGTATTAGTATAGGGTACAGCACGGCACATATTCACCTTTCTCACACAGGGTCTCGAAAGATGATAGATAGTTAGGAAACTGTGTATTGCATTTTAAGAGACCCGAAAATCAGAGGCAGATACTTTTTTCTGGCAGAGATTTCTTCATCCACATTGATCGATGTGAATGGAGGAATCTGTTAGATTCTCGTTTTTCCATTCAGCCCACAGGTTGCATGGAAGAAAAACAAACATTACATATATGCCCAACAAGGACCAGTGATGTACTGGTATGTCAATGGACTTTGAGTGGTTACCAGGATGATTTCTGCAGCTACAGGCATCATCCTAGTATTATTTCTTTCAGCCGACGGTCGGCTTTCATGTAAAAGCAATCCTAGCAGCTAATTAGCCACTGGATTGCTTTTACAAGCAGAGGGAGGGGATGCTATCATAGGGGATATTTACATTCCCTGTGATAACAAAAAAAAATTATCAAAAAATAAATACTATATATATCAAAGCACCCCTGCCCCCCCTCCCCGTGCTCGCATGCAAAGGTATACACATGCATTGGCCCTGTGTCAATATGTAAACAGCGGATGCACCATGCATGTGAGGTATCGCTGCGAACGTCAGATCGAGGGCAGTAATTCTAGCACTAGACCTCGCCTATGGATATTAAAAATGGATGTAGTGTGCCACGATTGCATGGAGCATGCGCAGTTTTATAGCATGTCGTGTTTGGTATCTATTTACTCGGCATAACATCATCTTTTATATCTTACCAAACAATTTGTCAACATATTGTGTTTTTGTGCATTAATTGCAAAAAAGTGTATTTTTTCCAACAAACTTGCGTTTTACAAATCGTTGCGCAAGTACTGTGTGGCATAAAAAATTGCAACACCCACCATTTTATTCTCTAATGCCTCTGCTTTAAAAAAAATATATATATTAATGTTTAGGGGTGCAAAGTAATTTTCTAGCAAAAAATACTGATTTTTTTATGTAAAACAAAAAGTGTCAGAAAAGGCCTTGTCTTCAAGTGATTGGAAGACAAAGTTGTCACTTAAATGATATATTGCTCACACAGGCTCCTGTATGCAGATAGGCTACCAAAAGTCTCACACATGTGGTATCCCCATACTCGGGAGAAGTAGCAGAATGTATTTTGGGGTGTAATTCCACATATACCCATGGCATGTGTGAGCAATATATCATTTAAAAGACAACTTTGCATTAGAAAAAAAAAAACAACCAACAATTTTATCATTTTCCAAAAACTTTTGAAAAAAAAAAAAAAAAAGCTTTTGAAAAAAAAAAAAATAGCTTATGTTGTCTACTTTCCTGGGTCATTTGGGGGTTGTTTGTACTGCCCTGGCATATTAGTACCTCAAGAAATGTGATAGGCAGTCAGAAAGTAAAAGCTGTGTAAATTCCAGTATCTACCATAGTTTGAAGACGCTATAACTTTCTCACAAACCAATGAATATACACTTAATGGGATTTTTTTTTTTTTTTTTACAAAAGACATGTACCACAATATATTCTGGCCTAAATTTATGACCAATTGGATATTTAATTTTTTTTTATTAACAGAAGGTAGAAAATGTAATTTTTGTTTTTAAATTTAATTTTTGTTCGTTTATAATCACAAAAACTAAGAAAAAACCCAGCGGTGATCAAATACCACCAAAAGCTCTATTTGTATGAAAAAAAGGACATCAATTTAGTTTGGGTACAGCGTTGCATGACTGCGCAATTACTAATTGAAATAGCGCAGTGCCAAACAGCAAAAAATGGCCTGGTCATTAAGGGGATAAATCTTCCAGAGGGCAAGTACTTATACATTTTTTACAGTACTTTGCCAATTCCTGCTATAGAGGTGCAGTTTGCATTTAAACACAAAAATCTGAAGACCCTGCATAACTATGGCAGCCTGTAATCACCTCAACTGTTTATGAAAAGTTTGCATTTTCTTCCATTAATTTATCATTTGCAATTTCATTTCATCACATTCAACCTTCAGATGGTCATATTCCTGTTTTAAATGAGAAAATTATATCCAGACCCATATTTCTTTGACCTGGTAAAACTCTCCTGCCTTTTTTAATTGTTTAGCTGCAGCTCTGTTCTAAATAATGTAATTGCTTCAGTTCTCACAGCCTCCTTATTTGATTTCCTCCATAAAAGTGTCTGCTCTTAACAAAATATAATTTAAAATCATGAGAATTTAGGATAACCAATAAAATATCGCCTTGAGATACCCATTCAAAACCTCTGAAAGCCTGCTTCTATATACCAAGCCTTCATGCACAAATGCAGGGTAGTTGCTATCCCTGTGTGACAACTCTTAAGGAGACTTGTTTTGGATTAGTTTGATCTTTCCATGTATAGTGACATCAGATTGTACACCATACAATGCACACAACAATTCTTTATTATAAATCTAATTTTAAAAGGCTAAATACAGATCTGTTTAACCACTTACAATCAATAGGATTGTCAAGGATCACCCTGTCACGCGTCCCCCACACGCAACGTCCACAGCGACTAGCTAACGGAGACGAGCACGTGGGGCCGCGACAGGGGAGTAAAGAGGGGGAA